TCAAACACATTTCATTGCAATGTTGACCCTGTGCTAACTTGCATATGACAAATAAAAACTGAAAACTGAAAACCGAAAACTGAAAACTTCTCCTGCCTCCTTCAATCAACCTGCAGAGTGAAGGAGGCCAAGAGTATATGTCAAGCTGCTCCAAAGTTTTGGATCCATAGTTTTTCAGATGGTCATGTGAAATCACTAACAAAAGGACCTAAGAAACCAGGTCGGAGAGTAGTGGGGAAGTAGTTTGACAATAAGGGTGGGGACCTCACCCCACAAACCCATAAAGGATAAAAGTAAGAGCCAAGGTTTTAAACTGAAGTCTAAACCTGACACAAAGCCAGTGTAAAAGCCTAAAATGGAGTGATATAAAAATTATTCTGCTCATAATGTTTATGGACAGCATTTCTAGGTGCAGCAAGTGGCGGAAGGCTTTCAACTGGGTGGTCTCAGAATCAGTCAGGGACGAGTTCCTGCCCCAATTGGAGGAGTTTAAGTATCTCGGGGTCTTGTTCACATGTGACAGGAGAAGGGGAGATCAATAGGCGGATTGGTGCTGCGGCTGCAGGGATGCGGATGCTGTACCGGTCTATTGTGGTGAAGAGAGAGCTGAGTGTAAAAGCAAACCTCCTGGGTGAGGTCTTCCATGTCCCACCAGGAGGAGGCCTCGGGCCAGACCCAGGACACACAGGTGAGATTATCTCTCTCAGATGGCCTGGCGTCGGTGTCCCAACAAAGTCCCTGATTCTAATTGGATTTTCCTAAATCTTTTTATAAGTGCAAAATGTTTACATGTGAATGCAATTACATTACAAACTGTATGCTGACAGAACCACCTTCGTGTTATTGCTATTATAACAGTAATGACAGGCTCACAGAGTGATAAGAGGGAGATATGACTCACACATTCTTGCATTCACAGTGTTGGAATATGAGATAAGTTATTGTATAGTTTCCACTGATGAGGCGGATTAACTTAAGACCTGTTTTCACATTTATACCTTGTGGTAGGAAGTATGCAAAAGGTTATTATGTCAACAATACAAGTCATTGTTCTTCTGTCAGAGGTGCAAATATTTTTCCGGGAGCAGAGATTTTGCTTTATGCCTCCGGCTGTTTCATGTGATCATCACTGTAATAATGCAGCTTACAATATTGTTATATTTTAATTTTTTACTACTGCTACTATTATTCCTTACTAGTGTTGTTTGAGAGTCCATGCTAGTTTGCTAACTTGGATTAAAGGGCAACAGCCAAATTTTCTGGATCTCATGGGTGGCCCAGAATATTTGGTGCGTCTATGATTTATCAAAGGAACTCCAACCAGGAAACCAGAAAGTGTGCAGCACCACAATGTTTGTCCCTTGTCCAGATATTCTGAATAGTTGTATGTTTACAGGGATTCCTGCTATTGCGCCTTATCATACTGCATTATTTTATGGCAGTTGTTTGAGTATCTGACTCTGAGTATCGTTTCAGTCACAAAGGCCAAGCTGCCTTTGATTTTATGAAGTTAAAGCAAAGGCACAAGAGCAATCCAGCACTCAACGCACCCTTAATGGAAATTTATGGGAAAATTTTGCAACATCAATCAACATTAATGTTAAGTAGAATGTTCACTTGTTTATGGAAAAACCTTTAACAGAAACAACTATACAATCTAAAAAATTGGGGACTCCTGAAATGTAAGATCTTTATTTGAAAACTAATCCACTGGTGATGTGGTTGGTGTTAATAAGTACAGTGTTGCATTTTTTTAATGTCCTGAAAATTAATGAAGTATAGCTAATTAAACACTCTTTAAAAATAAATGTATTTGATTGTGAAAGCATTTTTCTTGCATCCAGAAATGTTAGCATGATTTTTATGATTTAAATCTTAAAAAAGGCATATTCATCGGAAGATTTCCTAGATGTGCACAATTACATTGCATTTCTCTGGAGTTTCCATCAGTCTCAGAGTCGGAATGAGCGCCATAGGTTAAAAAAAAAACAAACAAACCCATAGCTTTACTGTTTAGCTATCACTACTAATAATAATCATAATCTTATTACCTTCGTTGTGTCACAGGTGAAAAAGAATCTTATTTATTTAATCAAATCAAATCAAGAAGAGTTTGTCTTCGGTTTTACAGTTGTTTGTAAGTCCTCGATCATTATTAGTTACCCATCTCTTTTACCTCATCTGGTTATGCACTGCCATTTGTGACTGATATAGTGTTGCTCAAAGGAAGTCACTCAGCCCTTCTTTATTTTATAGTTTTTACAGTTGGTGGCTGCAAATCATCTCACGTTTGTGCAGCCTGATGAGTCAATCATGATGACATGATATCTGCTGCCATATCAAGGAAGGAAAAACACAAGATTGCGTAAGCAAACAACTGTTCTTGCGCAAGAAAGCAAATGCAAGCCACTGAATAATTTAAAGAGCCAAACAGCAATTGGCAAATGCAAATGCTACATCTCAATCTGGTTGCAAGTAGGAAACTGACTAGTATAAAAAACTGAAAAGTATGGCAAAAAAAAAAAAAAAATTCCTTTAAGGTTGCACAAATAAGGTCCAAGGTCTCATTATTACAAGTAAATGCAATACCATCCTATAGGAGTCAGTGGAATAGTAGTGCTGTCCAGTGCAGCTTTAAAAAAAAATCATGTCTTTGTTTTATTTTTTGTCTGATTGCTAACTGCATAACTGAAATAAATGAAAACAAGCCCAAGTTATAAATATAGTGAAAGAATAAGAATTCTGTCAAGGCTGGCGGGGCGAGCCGTGTGGAATTAGTAAAGGACCCAAGATGCAGGCACTGCTGATGTGAGGTAGCTTTATTTGTGGCGATTGAAAATACAAAAAGGCGAGGGTGGCGAAAAAACAGAACTGAGAAAACCTAAACTGGGAAGACTAAGCATAAAACAAACCTGAAGCTAGAAACAGAGATGCAGGAAGACACAGAGAGAAAACCATAAGATGCTGTAGGGCGATAACGCAGATGAACCAGCAACTAACAGGCAGACACAAGGCTTAAATACACAGAGGGATAACGAGGGAATGAGCCACAGAAGGAGGGCACAGCTGGGAGTCATCAGACATGACGGGACAGGTGAAACTTAAATTGAACACACTGCGATCAGACACGGACCTTCAAAGTAAAACAGGAAACACACACACATGCAAAGACACAGACTTAGAGACCTGACTACACTAGAGGGGATACACAGGCAGGGATGACACAAAACAGAGGGAGCACAGAATAAACACTGGGAAACCAAAACACAAACAGTTATAATTCATAATAGTATCAAAAGTAAAAGTACAAAAACCAAAAACACTGGGTCACTGACCCAGGACTGTGACAAATTCAGGACTTCAGAGTCAGAGTAGAACTGCTTCTCCTTCAAAGAAGCCGTTTGAAGTAATTATGACTGGATGGCTCCTAGGTGGGGTGTTTTGGGTGGATTCGGGTATGAGAATTCCTGAGGACACACCTGACAATAACTGGAGTAATTACATTATTAAGTTGGTTTGGGAATGCCATGGAGAAGGAGGTGTGGGCAGGTCTGTTTAGACTGCTCGTCCCTCACCCAGAGATGAATAAGTATTATAAAATGTAGTATAAAATGAATACATTTATTCATATATTTATGTATTTTTTTCCTAGGTGAACATGCTGCACATGGCAAACAGGAGCAGGTTCTAGCATTTGCTGGTGGAGATGTTATTCTACCATGCAACTTCAGGATTTCTCACAGCTCTGACTTTCCGACTGTTGAGTGGTCCAAAGAAGGTCTGAACCCAGACGTGGTCTTCCTGTATCGGGATGGCTGTGAGACCTACGAGATAAAGAATCCAATCTTTGACTACAGGACAAGCTTAATCATGAAAGAACTGAAAGATGGAAACGTCTCATTAAGGATCTCCAATGTGAAAATGTCTGATGCAGGGAAGTACAAATGCCTCAAGCTCTGGAAGAATGCTCCTCGGGAGGTCACAGTAGTGGAGCTTGTTGTTGGTACGTCCTCTCAAGTTCACTAAATAACCAAAGATAGAAATGCTGCACAAGCCTTGGACCTTGTCTAGTTTATCAAATCATAGGCTGAACGAACCAAGTAATGTGAATGATTCCTTTTATACATTTCTGTGAATTATTCAGATTCAGTGTCCAAATAGACGCAGCGACGGCATTTTGATGGATTAAGCCAAGTCACGTCTAAATGATGAAAGAGGATAACACGCTTGATTGAGTGTAATTTTCGTAGTATTCGCCTCTCAAAACAGCATCAAAAAGACTTTTTGGCTGATTGTAAGATTGTAACACATGGTTAGATAGACATTTTTGCAGTACAGCTGGCTGCTGTGAGGCAACAGTGCTAAGCAATTTTTGGCCCATAAAAATGACAACAAAAAAAAAACAGTTAGTTGTTAATACTTCAATAGTAATTTCATGATAGAAAACATTTTTTAGCAGCTCCATTACACTTTGTGGGTAAATCTAGAACCTGTGTTTACTGTGAGTATGAAATGAAGCGTGTGAATGGATAAGAAGTAACTGACACTTCTAAGCTTGTGTGAAGTGCTGTGTCAACAAAGGCTGAGAGTTCAGTCTGTGCACACATGTGCGTCAGAGTGTCTCAGGTTCAACTGGTTTTGTCCTCATTATGTTGTCATTATGTGCTCTCTAGAGTACTTTAAATTGTGTAAGGAGTAAACTGTGTATACTATTTTTTCCCCATGTAGTTATTCTAAAAATCATGTCTCTTTGAAGTTGTTTACCAAGTTTATGTGATTAATTGTTCGATTTTTCACTCTAATGCAGTTTCTAAAGAAGACTTTTTATAGTGTTTAATTTTATTAAGAAAGATTTTAATCTTTACCTATTTACCTTTTGATAACTTGGTTATCTTTAGCTACTCACAGTGAACTACATTTGGTATAGTTGCTTGCCTGAAGCTTAATTAAGACGATGGCTTGAATTATGCACATAAAAACTAGTCATGAAGCTGGTTATTCAGGAAGTGATGACAGATGAAAGATTCAGTTGGCACACCTGATTAGATTATTTTTTGTTTACAGGTGCAGTCTCGGAGCCAAAGCTCTCAGTGGTTTCGGTTGAAAGATGTGGGGTGACTGTGCAGTGTGAGGTGAACTTCTGGCCAACAGAGCCTCAGGTAACATTTCTGGATCACCAAGGAAACGACATCCCTGCTCAAGGTTCAGAAAGAGATCGAGATGCCAGCGGACGTTTCATCGTCAAACAAAGAGTTACTCTGCAGGAAGCGAACAGCAGGTTCAACTGACATCATTGCTCCGTCTTTCAAAACTCACTTAGAATTTATTTTATGTAACATAAACAAAATGTTTTCCTTATGCCTCAAAACATTTCTCAGACACATCAGAAGTTGCTCTCTCATATGTGAGAGGTTGCGATGCAGTACATCATGTATCATGAAACAGACTTGTTATTGAGTTAAGACATCATTAGTGCAATGTGAAGAGGAATAGTTTTAAATCTTATGACCTTATTTTGACTGGTCATTGGCATTTATGATTTCTTTAAAGGTAAAACTCTTGTGTATGAACATATTTCTCTCTGTGAAGTCTTAAACGTCCAAAGCAATAGACACAAGGGATGGGAAGAAAAGAGCAAGGGCAGAGGGTGAGATGTGCATGGATGACTTGCAGTCACCCTTAAAGGGAGCCCCCAAAAAACCATTTAAATTTGGTTCTATTAAATTGATCCTGTTTTCTTAAAAGATTTAACCAGTGATATACCATGTTTGGTAAGTAAATCAGACACAAGCAGGCAGTTTTTTCCCAACTCATCATTATATTTAATTTCTTAAAAAAACATCTATCCATCCATTTATCTTCTTCCAATTATCCGGGGCTGGGTGGCAGAGAAGCCCAGACCTGTCTCTTCACAGCCACCTCCTCCAGTTTGCCCGGGACAACACCAAGGCATTCCCAAGCAGCTGAGTGTTCCACTGGGAGGAGGCCCCGGGTGGTTCAGGCATTTGACACTGTCAGATGCCTGAACCACCTCAACTGGCTCTTTTTGATGTGTAGGAGCAGCGCCTCTACTCTGAGCCCCTCCCGAATGGCCCGACTCTCTAAGGGAGAGGCCAGTCACTCTTCGGAGGAAGCCCAATTCTCCCTCTTCTATCTGCGATCTTGTTTTTTCAGTCACTAGAGGTAGATTGATCGGCTAACAGAGAGCTTCACTTTGACACTCATCTCTCCCTTCATCATGACGGACCAGTTTGGCGTCTGCATCACTGCAATCACTCATGGTGCAGGAACTCGTCCCTGAGTGGGCACTCCACCCTTTTCCAGCTGACGACCATGGCCTCCGAAATGAGAATCATGTGCTGAGTCTCATTTCCACCGCTTCACACTTGGCTGCGAACCGTTCCAGTGCGAGCTGGAGGCCATTATCCGATGATGCCAACAGAACCACATCATCCGTGTAAAGCAGACATGAGATTCTCTGTGAGAGCCTTCCACCACTTGGCTACGCTTAGAAATTCTGTCCATAAAAATTCTAAACAGAATCGGTGACAAAGGGCACTTATTGTTAAAAATCTTTTGAAAACAAAACACCTTTGTCCACATTAAATGTTACTAATTTACTTGCATGTGCTATATTTGTTCTCACAGCATCACCTGCAGGGTTCACCAGCCAGAGATCAACCAGACCAGAGAGACAAAGATCCTCATATCAGGTACACGGGGACTTGAACATCACACATGTACCTGCTGGCTAACAGAATAAGAGAAATGCAGTCTGTTGTAGGAAGTTCACTTACTTTTAAAAACTCCAATCTGCCCAGGAACTGCAGATGCAAATTAGTGTTAAACTCTGGAACAGTGCATCAAATGACAACAATCATGTTTATATAATACATTGTCTCTTTTTAACTAAAACAAATAAAAAAAGAACTAGCACCACACATATCCAACCTCAAATCAAATTGCATATATATATATATATATATATATGCAATTTGATTAATCTGTTCATTAAATAAACAGTTTTCTTGCATTATATCACATCTGAGTTGTAGGAAGTCAAAGGTGATTCAATTGTTTTCAGGTAAAGTCTGAAAAGTCTTCCGATAATTAGCTTGGGAAAAATCTTGTTGTAATAAAATAAAAACATAAATGTGTTTTATTTTGTATACATGGAGCCATTTACGTGATTATGCAACACTTCTTAAGAAAGGAAGCTGCTTAGTTTGCCATAGTTCCTAGATATTGGAAAACCTGTTGTATGTTGCAGACATCATGTTTGTGATTTATCAGATAATGTGATCAGATGTTAACATCATGCATGTTGTTATTTCAGCCACCTGCAGCTCCGACATTTGCACCGCTGCCTTTGCTGCTGGAGGGTTGGCTTCTGTCTTATTTTCAGCTATATTAGCTCTACTGATATATAAGAAAAACAATAAATCAAGTAAGTCACTGTCTTCATTTAACAAAGATGATACAGCTAAAAAGTGAAGACATGAGCGAAGTGGTGAGCCTCTAAGTCAGGGGTGTCGAACTCCAGGCCTCGAGGGCCGGTGTCCTGCAGGTTTTAGATGTGTCCTTGATCCAACACAGCTGATTTAAATGGCTAAATTACCTCCTCAACATGTCCTGAGGTTCTCCAGAGGCCTGATAATGAACTGATCACTTGATTCAGGTGTGTTGACCCAGGGTGATATCTAAAACCTGCAGGACACCGGGCCTCGAGGCCTGGAGTTCGACACCCCTGATCTTAGTGTTTTCTCTGCCTTGAAAAGGTTTATGTCTGTAGTGTTGTCCAACTGCCACAGGATGGCAGACATGCACCTCTCAAACAAGAACCACATGCTCAAAGAGACCACAGACCTCAAAGTGCTATTACTGAGTACTTACTAAAGACAGCTTGTTTCAGTAGAACAAACAATAGTAACAGCTTTGCTTTTAGTGCTATCAAAAACCCATCAACGCACTCTTCAAAAGAAAAAAAAACAATGTCCTGTAAGACTACTGAAAGTCTATTAATGTCACATATTATAAAACAAAAGCTAGAAATATAGTTGGAGTGCTCTTAATGGCCAAAGGGGCACACATAGTGGCAGCTGTGGCTCAGGTGTTAGAGCGGGTCATCTGCCAATCGGAAGGCTGGTGGATTCGTCTGATTGACTACGTGCTGAGGTATCCGTGTTCAGATACTGAACCCCATTTTGACCCCAGTGCATTTATGTAAATGCTATAAAGTACTTAAGCGCTGCATGAACACATGTGATTGGGTGAATGAGACTTAGATGTCTGCTCAACTGAGTAGAAAGGTGATATACAAGTACCAGTCCATAACATTTATTTACTTCTCCATAATCACCAAAATATCTTTATTTAGTATCTCTACTTGTTTCATGTCTATTCAGGGACACCTCTAGAAATCTTTCATATGGGGGCGAAAAGAATATTGGGGTGGCACACCAAAGACAGAACAGTGAGGGACATCTAAAGTGACAAAAATGATATGTGCAGGAATAAATCACAAGTTAATGTTTCAACTCATTGTAGGGTGTCTTGCCCTCTCTTGTGTTCACTTGTGTTCTTGGTGGTGGGGGTCACTTGGGGGGCCAGCCAATTTTGGTGGGTGCCCAGTGCCTCCCTTGGTGGTGGTCCTGTACCTATCACCAATCGAAAAAAAGAAAGTACAACTATGCAGTGAAGTTAAGGATGGGCGACAATCTTGTGAAAAGTTGCCTATAAGTGTTTTAATGTTTTTATTACCTTCAGATTCAAATGTTTGGTGGGAAAAAAATCTTCATTTTGTTGCTTCACAGCTAAAGTCACTTTAAAATGATGTCTTCTTTTACAAAAATTGTTTGGGTTGTTTTTACTTTCCCTTCTTGTTAATCCGTAAATTAATGTCACATTATTAATGACACATTTTTTTTCTGTCTACACAGCCCAAAAAAAGGAGCGTCTTCACAGGAAGTCATCAGACCAAAGAAAGAATAGCAGCACTGACAATATGTTAAACAGTTTAACTGAGCAGCTAAAAGAAAGATTGGCTGGACTCAAGTCAGAGCTTCAGGAGAAAGAAGAGATCATTCGCCGGCTAAAAAGAAATGATCAGCCGTCTCGTGCTGTTGCTACCCAGCATGACCAACCAATTTGGGGCCTTTTCACTTCCAAACCAGACATCCCTAAAAAACCTTTCAGTCATTATTCTGACCTTGACTCCAACGCTAGTTACTGTGCTGATGACTATAATCCAAAATCCACAGCTTCAACCAAAACTTACCCTCCAAAATTTGGCAGCTTACACCACAAAGGTTCAAATTTAGGAGTCAAGAGGCAGAACAGCAATCCAGCACCAGGCCAACCAATCCAAAGAAAACATCGCAACAGAAGTAGTCCTGCTATTATGTCTTTAGCGTTACCTAGCTTGTCTTTAACCAGCAATGCAGAGAAAATGCTGGATCACAGCTCAAAGAGTGAGGCCGAAGCCCTGCTAGATCAAGATGCATTCTCGCCACTGCATAGAAGTTATTCAGGAAGTTCTCATTTAGCTTGCAATAATAACCGCTTTTATGCACTGGAAGATTTAACTGAAGAGTCATGAGCTGCCTATTCACAAAGGAGAACAAAAACTGGAAAACCTTCAGTTAACATCTACTAATGACTGCATCTTAGCCACATGTTTTACAAGCTTGGCTTCAGAAACTAGAAGATATCAACTTTGAAATTACTTTGGTCTTATAGTTCTTCTTTTATAAGATTTTCATTTGGGTGTGCTATGGGGAAAAATCCATGTAAAGCATGGCTTGCATGCTGATGGATAACACTTAGACAGACATTTATGAACCGACTGTTTTAATTCCTGTTTGCTCTTTGTATTTTTGTTTATGGATGGTTACATTTTTTACACCAACAGTTATTTAAAAGGTGAGACCTGAAAATTAAGTCTTGGGTTTTAAGCTAATGAGCATTAAACATAGACTATTTGAATGAATTAGATTTGCATGTATTATATAACCAACATATTTTGTGTGTGT